TGTGCTCTCATTACATTAGTGGAGCATTTGTGCTTCCGCACCCTTACTCCTGCTTTAGCCTGGCAGGATTTTTAATCAGAAAAACAAACACGGTGAACATGATTCATACTCTCACACATTCACTATAGGTGTGTTGATGACAATGCCCTAGACGATGATGTACTCCACACCCTTTATTTGCAGGACCAGAGGACATGCTTTTTCTGGAGAACGAATTGCTAGAACCACTGACATAAATCAGGTGAAGCAAACGGGAAGGAGATCCTGGCTCTTACACTCTTACTTAGCTATTTATCTGTTTATGGAGTGAAAGGATCAAGATGGGGAGTGAGGTGGGGCCGGGGTTGAACTAAGCACTGAGGCAGCGCCAAACCTTCCGGCTGCCCAGCGTTTCCTCTCCCCCTGCGACATGTGCGACGTCTCGCGTGTGACACTTGGCACACGCTGGCAGGATTTTGCCCACTTTCGGACTTACATGCTGCGGGCTGGGAGCTCCTCCCTTGCTCCCGCTGCGGGCACCGCGGCTGTGCGGCACGGCGGCCTCCCCGTGCCCGGCGGCGGGGCGGCGTGGGGCGGGCAGCAGGTGCCGGGCGGCGCGGCCCGGCACAGCCCCCCCGCCCCGTCAGACAGAGCGGGGCAGCGGGAGCCCCCCGCGCCCCCCGCCTCCCTGCGCTGCTAATGAGAGGAACGGCCGAGGGAGGGAGGCGCAAATCATCTTAAAAGAGAGGCAGAAAATGACCGCGGGCAGCCGCCACGAGGCGGGTTTTGTTCGGCCGCTCTGGCAGTAAACTCGTGTAATCTGCAGTCATTAGCATAATCTTCAAAGATCTTTAAGGGGATAATCTTTAAAATGCCTGGGGTGCTCGCTTGTGAGGCTCCTAAATAGGATATCGTCGGAGGGCCGGCGATACCCTTTGAGGTGTCTTTCTTGGGATTCGAGGGGTTCCTCTCCGCCTTCTGCTGTGGCGGACAATAATGTGATCTCCGCCTGGATGGGGGTCAGGAGAGCACTGCGGCGCTGAACACTCAGACCTACTCTCTGGCGGGCTTTTAATTTACGAGGGGGAGAGGCATATATTTTCCCTCGAAGTTTACTTTTCGTCAAGGGTAATTATCTCACTTGCATTTGAACTCTTCGGGGGACTAGAATAAGTTTCCAAGCGTTCGATTCTCCTGCCTGAAATCTATAGCTCTTTTGTGTGAACCTCCAGAGCTCTGGAAATGAACAACCCAACCCGCGGTTTGCAGAAATGTTCATTGCAGTGAAGGGCGTGTTCGGAGAACACAAACAGCACCCACAGATAGTTGCCAAGGGCACCTAATACATCTTTGCATTACACCTTGAACCAGTTTGCCCATATCTCCGAGTTTTTATTGCACGGATCATAAATGATTGTAAAGTCTGCAAATCTTTCATGAAATCCTGACAATTAATAGTTTAGCTAGGGAACCTCTAAAGAAACCAGTCTCTAATGCATCCCTTGAAATCGGTTCACAGCCGCGTGGTGCCGGCGTAATCTGACGATTCAGAGTTTTAAGAGGTTTACGGCTTTTCTTTTTCTTTTGAACAATGCACTTTCACTCTGTTTTTCGAAGCAACAAAACGCAGAAACCTTAGTACAGAATGCCAGGTGCTCTCTGATCAGAGGGAGGGGGAAAGGGCTCTGCAGAAGTCAGCTTGAACGCTCGATACCAGAACCTGTAAAATTAGACCGCGTTTCCCACTTATGGTTTCAGGTAACCACATAAAACTATCTGTTTCTTTAAACCGGTTTGGTCCTGATCGTTTCCTGTATTGCTCTTTTAAAGGCAGGAGTACCCCGTGACCCCAAGTGACTATAGTTCTCGGCAGCCGTTTAGATGGTTTTTGAAGGCATGTTGGGGTCCTTTATCAATTATTCGTGATAACAAAGGAAAGGCGCTTGCCTTAAGATGGGAAAGTTTTTCAAGGGAAGCTCCTGCGAGGAGAGAAGTGCCTAGTTCCCCATAAATGATTTACGAAGGATGGATCAGTAACAGGGAAAAAAGCAGCCCAGGGGAGGGAGAGAGTGCACACAAACAGTTGCTTCACCCGCAGGTTAATGATACCGGAACGAAGCGAGAGGAGACCGGGCGGGTTGCCGCGATGGGCGGCCGCCCGTTTCCGACCCCAGCCCCTGCCCCGCCGCCCGCAGAGGCAGCTCCGCCAGCTCCCCTTGTTTTCTCCCCGAATAAACTGCCTGGCGAGGGGTTGACAAACGCTGCTGGGAGCAGGTCGGGAAGGGCAGACCCTCGCAGATGTTGCCCTGCGGGAGCGTGCCGGGCTGCTCGCCCGGGGCGGGGGTCGCTGGCCCCGCTGGAACGAGGGGGCTCTGCCCGCGGCCGCAGCCCGGCGGGCAGCCGCCCAGCAGCTGTCTGCGGACACAGCCAGAGGCAGCCAAGTGATTAGAGAGGCTTCTTCAAAATGGCACAGAGATCATACTGTCTGGGACTTTCCCCTTGAGGTCAGCGCCTGGAAATATTCGTTATCTCCGCTGTAAAAGGCTTCGTGGGTTTATCCCCTCGACACCGTCTCCCAGCCCTGCTCCCCGGGGTGTAGTTAGGGAGAGATGTGGAGAGCAAAAGGGGTCTCTCCTGCCTCCCATGGCCCAGCTGGTGCTTTCGGAGATCCGGGGCAGAGGGATCTGGCCGCTGCCCTAGTGTCTTGGTGCTCCATGCTCAGCAGAGGGCGGGAGGACTGAAGGTAGCGGGAGCCCCCACCCTTGAGGGGAGCGGGAAGGGCTCCCGGCCATGTGCGCTGGGGCAGTTTGCAGCTACCGCGGCTCTTAGGGCAGGGCGGTCGCATCATTTCATCGTGGACGTGACACGTGAAAATGCTGCTTCAGAGGTAGCACCGGCGGCGAGATGACCATCAAGGGACTCTGTGCCGCACCCCACTCTTCCTCAAAACCATTGGTAACTATAAGAGGCAACCACTTCATAAAAACCATTTAAGGAAACGCTGAAGTCGAAATGAAAACCACTAGTTACATTAAGGTTAAATCAAATGTGGCCTTATGTGATGAGAAATACGCGCGAATATTCCCCTCACAGGAAAGAAATTCCATTTACTCTTCTGCAAGCTATTTGCTTTTGGAACAAAGCAGTACCTTTCCCGCAGAAAGAATAATAATAACGTTTGTATACGCTGAAGGGACTGGAATCAAAACGTCTTAACCCCCTCCTCCATCTCCCCCACCCCCCCATCAAATCTACCCGCCTCTGGATGCAGGTGTAGGAATATAGTTGCCTCAGATGACCACATGGCTTTAGCGTGTTAACTTTATTCTAATTAAGACAGCAATAAAACTCCGACACATCCTCTTTATTCATCTAAGAAAACTGCTTATTCGCCCACGGCATATGCCCGAGATTCTCTGAAGAGAGGTAAAAAACAACCCTCACGTAAGTGACAGTCACTTTTTAAGCCGGCTATTTGTGCCCGAGGATTGCTCCGAGGCGCAGTGGAGCCAGCAGCAGTAACGTTTATTTCACTGTCAGTGCTGCCCTTGCCTGCAGTATTTTATCTGCGGCAGGAGATGGGCAAGAACTCCTCAGAAACAAGTCTTCCTCGTCCACTTTTATTGGCCTTTTAAAAACCGCCTTTGAAATAACACCGGAGGGCTTTGGATGTATTTACACCTTTCTTGTGGCTATCCAGACATTTTTTTCCAGTGATTATTAATATTTTGTAATGGGGAAGGGGGGGGGGGGGGGGATTCTCAAGCAAAATTCTCTTTGTTCCTTTCAAGGGACAATCGAAAACCCCTAGAAACTGGATCCAGAGTTTTCACGAGCAGGTTCTAGAAATGAGGAATTTGCCATCTTAACGATATCCAACAGCATGGCGAGGTACCGTCGGTAAGAAAGTAGAGGAAACCCGCTGATCTGCTCGCTGGGGAAACCAATCAATCACCGGCCGCTTTCAGAGACTGCAGGAAGAGAACATTTTTCATATTTTTTTCCCAACCTCCTTCCTGTGTAGAGCCCGTGCAGTCCCTCTCCTGTGAGAGCGTCGTTAAATCACTGACACGGGTGTGCGGGTGCGGATGTCAGGCGTGTTCACGCACCCACGGCGAGGCAGCCCCTTCCTACGGGGACTTTTGCCAGTCTTCCATGGGAACTTGTTCCAAATATCCACCCGTCACGCGGCCGAGGAGGCCCCCCCGGATGATGTGTGGAGTGACACGATACCATCCTTCCTTGAATCATTTCCCTTCCTGATGCCTCTGTGGGTGTGAGCGGGTAGTATAATAAACAAGGCGTTAATTATTGTTTCGAGTCTGTGAATGTTCAATGTCTGAAAACAACGGCAATTATTATTTTATAAACACTTCCTCGTGTCACGACCTTCCCAGCTCTAAGAGGCCGGCGAAGCGTCTTTTGCGCAGGGAACCCAGAATTTGCAGTGTTTGATCCCATTTCATTACATAGCCAAGCACCGAACTAAAAAGGAAGGGCTTCTTTCCTCCCGTGACAGCTTAAGTGAAAACAAGACAGCGACACCGGGATGGGAACATTTGAGGTCGGGGTGCCCGCAAATATGTGGCTACCCAGCACGGCGGGGAGCTGAGGGCCGCGGGCGGGTGCTGCGGGGACGGCCCCGCGGACACGGGTCGCCGTTCGCTCGGTCCCTGCGGAGCGCTGGGCTCACCTACCGGGGCAGAGCAGGGCGGCCCGGGGGACATTTGCCCTTGTCACACAGGCAAGGGCGACCGGCGGGGTACAGCCGCGGGAGCGGGACACTGGCCGCTTTCCCGTCCTGGCGGCCGGGGGCGCTGCCGCGGAGCCGGCCGAGGGCACCAGGGCTGGGACACAAGGCCCGTGGCAGCGCCGCAGCTCCCGCCGGCCGCGCGGGCTGCGCAGGCCAGTGGCTGGCGGCGGCGGCAGCAGCAGCTTTCAGTTTTCATTGAGGCCGCTGGTTACTGTTTAACGTCCCCACCCACGTTTCAGTTTGTTTAGTAAATCGATCTGATGCTGGGGCTGAGGCTGCTGCCCTGTCGCCATTGAGCAAAGTTAATTCACTCTCACACATACTCTCTCTCCTCCTCCTTCTCCTCCTTTCCCGCTTCGGCATATGGTGAGGACGTTGTCACCGCACCAAACAAGTCGCGCAGCCCAGCGCCGGGACGTCCGCGGGGATCCGGGGGGTGCGGGGGAGGCAGGAGGCCCGGGGGATGCCGCCGGCCTGAGCTGCGACCGCGCCGTCGGAGGCCGAGGGACGGGGCGGCCCCGCCGGTAAGTTCCCGGGGGCCGGCGGCCGCCCAGTGACACAGCCCCGCGCCGCCCGCCGCGCCCGAGGGGCCGACGAGCGCGGCGGCACAGCTGGTGGCCGAACGTTCAGCAGCCGGTTTGGGGGGATTTGATGTTACTCTTTATAAATTATTATTAATTTTTTAAGTCCCCTGGTCACGTGTCCCTGTTATCGGCTCCAGGGGCGTTGCGGGGAAAGGCGCCGCACTGGGCGCAGCCCGGGCTCCGGGGCGGGGTGTGTGTGTGTGTGTGTGTGTCCCCCGGAGTGCGTGTCCGTGTGTGCGTGTCCGTGTGTCCGTGTCCGTGTCCCTGTCCCGGCCGCTCTGCCCCTGCGCCGCGTGCGGCCGCACGGCTGCCTGGCGCTGTGCTGGCATTTGTGGCTCCTCAGCGGCCGAAGTCACGGCTTTGCACCGTGTTAACAAACATTTTCTGAAAGATTTTTTGGTTTTGCCTCCCTTATTGATTTCTCCGCCCCTGCCCTCATGGTCACCTGTGCAACAGATGAATTGTTATTGTAGAGGTGTGCTAGTAGTAGCACTTGGCCAGTGCTGGTGCTTTATTAGAGAATCCCAAAATACTTAGAGGGAAAATAATTCAAAGAGAAAAATTCAAACATGAAACAAGCAGAACAATCCAAGTTTTGCAGGTGAATCTAGCTTTTACAATGCAGGTGCATGTTTACAGGGTATCTTTGATGAAAGCCAGCTTTCAGATGTCACACTTGTGAGTTGAACATCTGTTCCCATACCCTGAAATGGGCAATATAGTCCATTTATAGCATTTTGGAAAGTAGACAGTAGATTACAATGGTATCAGTATTATAAAGCGACTTTATACATTTTTAACATCCTATGCCATAGTAAACTATGTTAAATTGAACCTTCCTTTGTGTAGGCCTTGTAAAGTACTGCACATACTTTGATTTACTGTGATTTCTCATCCATATTACATAGAAAGTGGAGTAATTTAACATAGCATCTCTGTTAATTGATGCTGAGTTCATTAAAACTGAGCTAGTGAGTCAGACTTACTATGCTGCACAGCTTTCAAACCCCGAGTCTCTTGTGTGCTAAAAAACTATAAAGTGCTATGTTATTTCCCATATTCCTTAAGAAGTTCTTACATCTTATATAGGAGGCATATTAAACATTTATATATATGCAGGTGTTTTTCAAATATGATGAACAGTATTTTTGTCATTTCATTGTTTTACTCTTTCTTTTTCACAGTCATATGTTAAGGGGCAAAGGGACAAAATGCTTTGTGGTAGTTCAGTTCACACTTCTCATTATCCTTCAGCGTCTGAAGTATTCCAAGTAAGAAAGAATTTTGAAAGTAGTATTTTCATTGTGCAGCATTCTGTGTCCTGTACCCCTCTCTCCTGCTGAAAGACAGCAGGCTGCCTTAGTCTCATTTCATACATGTATTATAAAAGACCCAAACAAGTAGGTATAAGACAGGATCAGGATGCTGTTACCTTGTTCATGGTGTTACCTTTGATTTTTGCAGCTCACACATTTGGACAATTGGAATGCAAACTTTGTGTTTCCTTAACACAAAGTGAAACTTTATCTGCAACTTCCCTCATATAACAAGAGGAATATATCTTCCAAAAATGTTAGTACTTAGTAGCAGAAGTTTAAAACTGGAGCAGTGCAGAGGTCCTGTCTGCATTTCTAAGATGGCTATTTTAAGTACTCCTAGGCAGCACATTGGGAAAAGATTCAGGTGGCATGGAGCTACCGCTGCCCTCCCTACGGCCTCCTACCATGGGGCTACAATGAGGAAAATGGGTTCCTTGTGGCTCAGCTATAACCGCCAGTTCCTTGGATGGCCAAGTGGTGTTTACTTCTCATTTGTGCACAGAATTAAATTATCCCTAACACAAGTGTCCTTGTAGAAGCACGTCTTTACTGCTCCCTTCCCTCGAGATAACGGCCGAGGTTTAAATCTCCGAATCAAATCCTTTTTGAGTCTGCTGGGTTTCCGAAAACCTACAGTAGTAAAAGAACAGAACTCAGTCCTTAAGCTGGGCATGGCTTTGGTTTCAGCCTTCATGGCAGACCTTATGTCATGGGCATACGGACTCCGTACCGTAAGAGGTTTTCCATCTGTTAAGCCTGTGGTGGAAAAGTGGAATCTTTTCATCATCAGTGTTATCTGCAGACCTGCATCATGTACATCAATTTCCAATAGCTATGAGAAAAAACCCATTACTTTAAACAATTCTAATGTTGATAGGTCATTAATTAAAAGATACTTCCTTAAAAAAATTAAATTCAAAACCAGCAATATGGCAACCCATATGATGGAAAAACCATCAAATTTTTTGTTTGTTTTTGGTTCATTTGGGAATTTAGTCTATTACAGCAAACATTCATTCATGACTGATTTAAAACTGCATTGTTGGTGTTGGGGTATTCTGATCTGAGCAGATTGTGCTTTTACATCTGTCAAATAGCAGAGGCAACGTACTCTGTGTCTTAATTGATAAATGGACTATTTCAATGCAGGGATCTCTCTGGCTCACTTCTCAGTGGTTTCAAAGACACATTTATTGCTTGTAAGTTTCAAAATATTATCTGATTTGTTTGTTTTAGGGTTTTTTATTATTTTTTGATTTAATGAAGTTGTTTAGCTCTTCAGAAGTCCTCCATTTATGTGTTTGAGAATGGATATTAAGCCTGAAAATCAGTTTGATTTGCCTGTGTTGCGTCAGGTGGACAGGAGGTATGTCATATTGGGTAACTGCAGCACTCTGGTACAGTAGATTTGTAATGTAGAGTGCTTTAGAATATAAAGAAAGGTTTTATTTGGCTGGCAAATAGTTATCTGTTGTACATGGTAGTATATTCTGTAATAAAATTAAATTTCTCAGTGAAAGTATTGCTGAAACGTAAAAGAATGTAAGGTTGAGGGAAGGCATGGCTCTTAGGTTTTAATATATCAATGAATAAAGCATTATATAAATATCATGATGAGAAAATCAGGAAAATGCACTTCTAACAGATTAAGATGTTTGAATGTCTTGCAACAGCTTTGATTGAATCAAATATTTTTTATTTCAAATTTTCAATTTTAAAACAGCACACCTTAAAAATCTGGTCAGAATGGTAATGTCAGGACTGAGATCTATCAAACTGAAAGGCTCCAACAACATTTTCAAACCTTTCTCAATTGTCAATTTAAGTTAATTGAAAATGAAAGGTCTCGCTTTCAGGATTGGGCCATTTAAATAGAAGCCTGCTGCTTTCATTTTGTAGAAGGGCAATCTCCCTCCACATACGTGTTTTTAAAAGGTTCATTCATAATTCTCCCTTCACACTTCTATTGGAAATGACAGAATTCATTATTTTGAGTTCTTGAACTATTTTTCTGCAACTTGGGTGATGAATTGTATGAGATCTAGTTCATAACGTGGCACGGCAACCCACAAGATTTAAAATTCTCAAGGCTCGATTTGTCTCTTTCTGGCATTCAGCTGGCACAGTCGAGGGAAGCTTCCGTGTGCATCTTCTGCCTCTTATAGAGCAGGAGGTTGGAATTTTTTTATTTAATACTGATCAAGGGAAAATCTCACACCCTTGCTCAGTAATTCACTAGAGGTATCCAGGCAACGAGGACATACATTAGAGTCAGTGGTATACAAGGTGCTGTGAGAATTTTCCTTGCCTCCTATGTTTATCTGGGAATCCAACTGCAATAGACCTGTACAAACAACACTGTTTCCACTGTCTATTTCTAACATGTAGTTTGTCTGTAGACTTCTGGGGGTTTTATTTATATTTAGCTCTCTGATGGCAAAGGATTTCTTGATGTGTATCTGTTCTTGCCTAAATAAAAGAATTCGGCTCAGGTGGGAGAGGGGGAGAGAGACTCCATGAAATGACAAATACAGCTCAGTTTGCAATTGATGGTGCATCTGTGGGGGTGTTGCAATGAGAATCCTCTTTTTCAGGGTAATTTTTGTCTGAGATTGCTAGGCTACACCAACCTGGCTTGGACTTGATGGAGACAGTAGCAGTGTCACCAGTTACTTGCTAACCAAAATAGGCCTTCCTAGCAGAGAGTTATGGCAATTGACTTTCCCTTTTTCTTTGTTACATAAAGATATTTTCACTAACTGCTGACGCGTATCAACAGTCAGCACAGAGTGGGGCCAGTTCATGCTGTCAGAGCTGGTCCAGATGGTTGAACATTTCTGAATACAATGACCCAGTTGATCATATATGTTGAGGACTTTTTGCACCTCTGCAACGACAGTTTGTTTGCTTGTTTATTTCTTTCTTTGTAAATTGAAGACTATGATGAGAAAGATGATTCTTATTGATACCACATTTTTCAGAATCATACCCCAAAGTGTCTTATGCCCTTCAGGATGATGATATTTATTTCTTTTGCAAGGAAATGCCAGACTGACATTACATTAGGTGACAAAATTGCCTCAGTAGAGATCTAGACACTACTCAGAGACACTAGACAGAAAAGAGATGGTGACATGGTGACCATGCTGTGATTGCACATTAATACTCAATTCCTGTTCTCTTTCGGTCCCTAACAGGTGTTAGCTTGTGCCTGCTGTTGTAGCTACAAGGATAAAATTATTATTTGGGAAATGGATAGGATTTTGTACACCAAATCATTAAATACTTCAGCTGCTTACTGCTGCCTACTCCCAATTGCTAGACAACTTGAAAACAGTATTTTCTGATGGACTGTTTGATAGGCATGTAGTGGCCCTATTAGGTGGGATAGAGATCCCATATGTTGGCTGCATGGGGAGTCTTACATGGTTTCAGTGCAGTTACCCTTTCATTCATATTGCCTCTTTTGTCCTCAGAAAAATGGAAGTAGGTTTTTTCTAACAAAGGAGAAAGCAATACAGAGCTTTTAGTGCTAGTTCTGATTTTGGTGCTAGGCACTATCTACATAATAGGTATGTATTATCCGTATGTAAAATTTCTTGCCTTATGGAAGAACAGTGA